GTGATCCCCCCGCCGAGGGGCTGGGGTGCTGCTGGTGCCGGAGCGGCCGGCACCTCAGGGACCCCCAGCGCCACCCCTCTCCGCTGTGCGCGGTGAGACGGGGGCGGAGGGCATGGTCGAGAGGGGCATGGCAGTGGCTTGTCCCACGGGACCCCCATGGGAGGGCAGCAGCTGCAGGACGGAGTCCCCGCAGCCCCTGGCAGCACTGGAAGCCGCCCCGAGTGGAAAAGGGGCCGGTCCCGAGCTGGGAAGGAGGAGAAGAGGGTGGGTCGTCTCGCCTGCTGTCAGCCTCCTCGCAGCCGTCAGGCAGCGCAGGCAGCGGCCGCGGGCAGCCCGGCTTTCCTCTCGCCTTCGGGGCAGGGAGCCCCAGCCAGCGCCCCCACTCCGCCATGATCCTTTGGCTGTGGCTCTGGTGGGGCTTCTCCTGGCTTCTCCACCTCAGCAGGGCAGCCGGACTCGGAGCTGATGGCCAGGTACCTGGAAGAGGAGCTGATGGCAGACTACAGCATCATGGAGCAAGTAGGTTTTAAGGCAGTCGTCGTTCGGGAGGATCTGGTGGCTGGGGCTGGCTCGTCCCTCTTCACTGTCAGCATTAACACACAGGGCAATCTGCTAAAACTGCGTTTATTGCACCCGTCTCTGTAGCGTGGCCACGGCTGTGGCTCAGCTCCGTGGGAGGCTGCTGCTGATGAGTTGGAGGTGCTAAGCCGGGAGCACCCTCCCGTGATGGGTGCTACTGCCAGGGAATGGGTTCAAAGCTGACATCCCATAGCTGCACTAACGAGGCATTTTGCAGGGACAAGAGAGTTAACACAGTGTCCTGGCTGTGCGCCAGTCTGAGTAATTCAGAGTATTGCAGGCTCGGCGGAAAGTTTTTCTGCCTATGATCTCCGTCTTACCATACTTGATTTTTAACTCATGCTGGACAAAATGAACCACATGAGTTTCAGCTTTTAAAATGCCTCTTGACCAGGAGAGAAGAAAAACATATTCTGAAAGTGAGGGATGTTATGTTGTGGTGTTGTGTGTCTCTTTCTGGGGAAAGGGAGCTGAAAGGGCAATGAACTCTTCTTGCAAGTTAACGAGAGTTTGGGTGGTGATTTGGGAGGCTGTGATTTCAGAGGATGAGCTTCAGATCTGTGCTCGCATCCTTTAGGTCTGTACCAGCTGCCATGTGACTGTGGGTCACTTATCTAAATATGATCAGCTCTGAGAGGCTCTGTAATATCCAAGCCATCCGTGTGGGACTGGCAGATATGAAGCGCAGGATGTGTGGAAGACCTGTGCCTTGCTGACGGCCAGGTGGGATACCCTAGCATGTCTAAAATGTCAGTGAATGCCTCTTATGTGATGCATCTTCTGCCACACAGTAAGCAGGAAGAATAGACTCTTCATAGGTGTCTGTACCCATCTCAGAACTGGTCACTCAGCTGCTCATCCCATCTAGAATGGGAAGGATCTCTCTCCAGAACTCCCCATCTCTCTCCCCTATAAGAACCTCAGCAACTTTGTCGTCAATCCTGATTACTGTGAACACATATTCCTTGTTGGGGAATTCAGCCACAAACCAACATTGTCTTGCAGACTCACCTGTGCAAGTGGGAGAGAATATCTGCATTACTGTCCTGCCAGCTCAGTGGTATATGGGAACACTCACTGCTTTTAGGGGGGAAAATCAGTTGTGAAGCTCAAGCAACTGGCTCACAGTATTGAAATAACCTGGCTGACATTGCTTGAGGCAAATGAAGGTGTTTTCGCAGGAGCTGTGTTGCTGGCAGATCAGTGGCAGTAGTAACTTCCAATTAAAAACCAGTCATGTTTAAATAGGGGTGGTGATCTAGTCCCCTGGGACAGCCAGATCTAGAAGAGGGCATCTGTCCATCCTCACACATGAGCCAGGTTAAGAAGAGGCAAGTTCTCCCCTAGATCAACATGCTACAGCCCCTATAAGCAAATCTGTAATTCTGGAGAGCCAAGGCTGTGTGTAACTGGAAGGATCCTCCTACACAAAGGCAAGCACAGACACAGGTCTTTGCAGGATCACTGTGTTTGCAATGAGCGTGGATTACTTGTTGGCTCATCCAAGGACTGACCACTCTGCTAAGAGAGTTGACAAGTTCTCTGGTTATTGCCGTTGCACTAGAGGTAGTTCTTCTGGACAGGTAGTTGGGTTGCTATTGCTCAGTTTATACTCTGTATACCATGCTAAGATTAGCAGATGGCAAAGCTGTGGGGTCACTACTAGCAATTTTTGGGCTTTAATGAATGTTTTGGTAGGCTTTAAAACTAAAGGTTGATGGTAACTTAGAAACTGTTCCATTAGATGATGCTAGTGAAGCTGGCTGGTTCAGAACAGTTCGATGGACGGAGCAGTATCATGAACCCTGCAGCAGTGCTTTGGCACTAGTCATGAAGTCCTAGCAAACAGAATACTGTTATCTGGTGATCCTTAGCTACTCCCTGATGTCTACTGGTTATCCTAAAGACGTTAGAAGGAGCCAAGTCCTACAAAACCTTCTTATGCAGATAAAAAATCAAAATGGGTGTGTGGTGGGGGAAGGTAAAAATAGTAACCAAATTTCCAGTTTCACCAATTATTCATTAAAAACCATTGTGACCATTCCCTACAGCGTCACAGGTGGATTTTTTCCAAAAGGTAATCCTTTAGTAAAAAAAATACTGAGGAACACTGATCTCTCATCCCTGCCTCTGCTGCAGGCAGGACCAACTTCACATACATTTTTCTGGCTTGTTCTGAAGAACCTACAGTGATGGAGACTTGCAGCCTCTCACAGCAGGCTCCTGGGGTGTTTTACTTGCCTGAGATACCAGACCCAGGCAGAAAGTTTATTCCAAAATTTAAACTGCAGAAAAATCCCCTCCCCTCCCCTCCTCTCCTCTTCTCTGCTCTCCCTATTGAGAATTTCCCAAGGGAGCTGTGTTTTCTTGATTCTAATTTTACAAGACCTCAGCTAAAATAATGCAGTAGGAAATCATAAAAATTCTAGTGGAGGACAGTTTAATTTCTCCATTGGGCTTTCCTGAGATTTTCAATGCAAGATATAAACAGACATAAAGTCATCTCTTTCGCAAGGACTGCTGTTGTTTCAGTGTAAATCAACAGAAAGGGCAAATCAGGTAAAGAAATATCTCTGCATTCCTCTGCTCCCTGGAGTTTCACTGACATCTTAAGAAGTCACTTGGCTTTCCTCATTGACAAGAGACTTCTACTCTCTGTTTTGGGGAGGGATTTGATTTGGAGATGTTGCTAAGCTGAGGCTTACACCATGTGCAGGGAAGAAGTCAGAGGAGTTGTTGTGAAGGGCGATGCAATGAGTACGATTGTGTTGTCACAGGTGAAGCACTTTGTTTAATAATAAAATCTGTGGCTGAGTTTAAATGCCTTTATTCCCTTTTTTCACATAACTAGTGCTTTTCTATTGCTGTGCAATAAATCCACAGCACCTGTGGAGAGGTTTTAGGCAACAGATCTGCTGTTGAGGTAATATCATTAAAGCTGATGCCGTAACATTAATTTACACAAGTCCTCCCGTGGAGCTGGTCACACGTGCAGCAGAATGGGGTTATGCCTGCTAAGCCATGGGTGCTAGGTTATAACCTGGTCGCTGCTCAAGCTGGAAGCAGCTACGCTGTGCCGACGACAGTCTTGGGTGACTGGGCTTGTGCGCTCAGCCTTTTCCCTGCCCAGTGTCTGCAACCCATGGTGCGTGCTGAATGCTCTTGCATGGATGGAGACCACATCTGGATTGGGGAATGGGCTTTGGCTTTTACTTACCTGAGGATGTAGATGGGCCCTGTGTGGCATTTGATGATCATTTAGCAGCCCTTCTCATCATGTGCTGTAAACCATGCAACGGGGCAAAAATGGTGACACAGAGCCTTTGTGTGACTCCATAGGAAACTATAAGGGAATACACTTATTCAAATGTATTCAAGGCCAAGACACAGTGTCCAGAAGTAGGGCTTAAAATAGAGGGTCTCTTGACAAGTAGCATTTGCAAAACACAGAGTGCCACCTTGCCTGCAAGAGCTGCATTCCACTGCTGAGCTTTGATCAGTGGGTCTGTTAATATAGAAGAGATTTAGGTTTTAATTTTAACCAGAGGGACATTTGAACCTGGCCATGGGTGATCAGTCACACAAACCCGCGTCTGGATTTGAACAAGTGACATGTCTTCTGTAAGCTGACGAGGCTCCATTAACTCCCTTAACTCTTTGCAGGTTGCACGTCGTGTTCCAAGGCAGGCCAAATTTTTGCAGAGGCTGGTACGTATCACATTGTGTCTTTATTTTACCTCATGTGAATTACACTTGCTCTATGTATATATATGTGTGCATCCCTGTGCCCAGGAATGACCTGTATCAGTAGGTGATGGTAGGGTGAGATTCTAGGTAAAAAAAAAAAAAATCTTCATTTTGATTAATGCAACAGGAACAGGTTCTTCTAATACTTCCCAATACATCTTGTCAACCCCAGATTTGGAGAGTGAATATGCAGTGTTAGAAACCTCTACCATGCAATGGAATCTCATTGAATTTGAAGAGAAAGGGAGAATTTGCTTTGAAAATGGAAGATCTCTGTTGTTCTCTGACACTGCAATTTACGGAAGAAAGGAAGAAAACAAGGAAGCCAATATCCTACCTTCTTTAAGAAGTTTACCTGCAGCTATGAGATGTACAGCATATCTGTGAGATCTGGCTACATTTCTGCACTGAGAGTTGCACCACTTTGATCAAAACTTTGGCTCAAGAGGCAGCCAGCGAAATTGCTGTTCACGGGCAGTTATTTTTTTGGCTTTTCTGAGGTGTTTGGGCTTCCCAGTTGAGAGCAGGAGGAGCGAATTTCACACACGGAGCGGCCATCACATGTTAAGTGCTTCTGGTCCCTTTGATCTTTGACAGATTTGAATCAGCAGCCTGGAGGAGAGCAACTCTCAGTCTTATTACCAGTTTATTACTTCTAATCTGAGATATGGTTAATTTGTTTTGATGAAAACAACTGATAAAGGTAAAAACATGGAGTGTTTTTCATTGATCTTCAGCTCTCTTCTGTCTTTCCAAACATTTGATGTGAACAAGCATAAAATCATTTGTTTGGCAAGAATATTTTAGCTCCCAGTTCCTCATAATCACCAGGACACCTTCATAAAGCATCCAGCCAACCTGCCTCATAGCAGTGTGCTAATCTGCCGCCTTGGCATTCCCTAGCGTTATTTTTAATAGGGATAATAAATCGCAGTAATAATAATATTAAACAAATGGTTTGTTTTGTTTTTTTCCTTTGTGCTGCCTCTCATCTTCTGAAGGCCTTAATAAAAAGTGGAGAAAACAAACAGGCATTTGCGCAGCTGTAAGTCAGAGCATCAGGCTCTGACGGATTGTGCAAGAGCTCCAGGGAACGCACAAGAATCACAGACTGGAACTTGGGCTGCCCGCCAAGCCCGACCTAGCAACCTGTTTGGAAACTGCCTCTGCCCCCACCGTATTTTCTATATACAAGGAATGGCAGATCCCTTCCAGGGATGGGAAGATGAATCAGTTCTTTCATCCTCAGTTGTATGTGATGCCCTTATTCAGACTTTGCTTTCTCCAACAGCAGCTCCTATCCACCAGGAAGAGGGAGAGGTGTTGAATGTCTTTTATTCATTTGGTTATGTCGTTCCTTAGGCTGTGAGGGTGTCAGAGCTGGACCTTGCTCAGTGGGATAGAGAGATATCACAGAGATCAGTTGAAGCCAGCAAGTAGTAGATTCAGAAAAAACCCTAAGCGATGTGGTTCTTCCTATAAAATATCATTAAGCTGTGGAGCTCCCTGCTACAAGATGTTGAGGATGCTAAAAGTTTTCATGGATTAAAAAAGCAGCTATGTAAAGTCTTAGAATAAAAATCCGCTGTGGTTTATGAAGCACAGAAATACCACACTTGGTTCAGAAGTTCCTTCAGCCACAAATTACTGAGAGAATATTTTGGGGTGATATCGGTGCAGTTTGGGCTAATTTTATACTCTTCTATAAGCGTGCATTATTGATCTCTGACAGTGATAGGCTATAGAGTTAGAATTGCTTTTGTTCTCACCCAATACAAGCATTCTTACGTTCTTGTCATAACAAGGGCAAGTGCATGTCCTCTGTCATACTCTAAAGACTTTCGGACTTCAGACAAATCCATCACCACATTCACAGTGTTAGACCCAGTGTCAGATCTGGCACTGCAGAACTACCTTGTATCTCAGGTAGAAGGCTGAGGGCTTGATCCTCTTTTGCTGTTGAGCTGTCCATCCACCATGTTTGAACCCACAGCTTATGAGGAAAGGCAGAACAGGGAAGCGGATGCAGTACACCTGGAATCGGAGTGTTTGCTGTAGTTTCAGATTCTTTCTTTGACTTCTGTTATTAAACCCTCTATATCACTTGCTATGCCACAGGCAATTAGAGGTATGGAAGACTGAATGAAACATCAGCTCATTATATCTGTTGTTCCTACAACACTACTTCTGATCAAAACTCCCCATCCTGTATACCTTCAGGATCGAGAGACTTCAAAGTCATGCCTATGTATCAGGGAAGGTCCTAAGAACAACCGGATCTAGTTCTAATCAACAGTGATTGAGTAAAAACCACCAGGGGCCTAAGGGGGGAGTGGGTGGGGGCACATTAGGTGTGATACTAGATGTGCTGTAGTCTAGATCCATTGCACTGAGTTGTCTGAAATCAGTGAGAATCACACCCTAGAAGTGCTAGCTTCTTGCCATTGTGCTCGATGTGAGCTGAGCCTCTGCTCAGCAGGATGATCCTGGACACAGAGCACATCACACACTCTCCAGCAGTTAAAGATATCGATCATGACTAGGTTAATTTGAGACATGTTTCTCAGAGTCTTTCCAAACCTTGAAAGTGTAGGCAGGTGGGGCTTTATTTCCAAATCTATCGATGGTTTTGTGTTTGTGGATCCTCATTCTTCTGTTTGCCTGGAATGCACTAGGCCAGCAGCTTAGCTAGTTGGATGCTCACTTACAACTGCTTCTGATGCCATCAGGCACTGGCAAAATATTCCTGTTTCATACTTACACTACCACTTTCCCCCTTCGTTAAGCCATCTGTCAAAATTATTTTTGTTCGGAAAAAGAGCCTGGAAGTGCAGCTGAAGAGCATGGTCTTGTCTTCACACGTCTTATGTGGCTGTGACTTTTTATCAACCTCAGTAGGAAGAGTCTCAGTTTGTTTGGCTTAGTGAAGCTGCTCTGTATGTGCAATGTAGTTTACTCTCTAGCTTCCTTCTACTTTCGAGGGTTTGGTCTTTGACTGTTTAAGGCAACATAACAGATGGGTATTTTTACATGGACTGTTTATGGTTAAATACACTGAAGTCTTCCAGGAAGAAAACTCTTGAGCTCCATGGAGACATTGCTGTAAAAAAGTCATGTTAGACTGGAGAAATGCTCCAACCCAGGACTGGTGCACAAAAACACATTCCCAAGAAGCAGAAATTGGCTGTTAGCTTCCATTGCTACATCATGTGTCATTCATTGCAGTCTCTGCTGCTTCTCTGCTGGAAGGAATCCAGCGTGGGCTAAAAAGCTTAAAATATTTTGCCTGAGACGTCACAGTGTCAGTGTTTCTTATTAAGTCTCTTCTGTCCATTGGCTGAGACCTCCGATGGTTTCTCAGCCGAGGAGGACTGAACGTACTCCACTGACAACAGTTTTTCTTTTCACATAACTTATGGATCTCATATTGTGTGAATTTGTAGATGCTTCTTCATACACAGTGTTCTCAGTCTTTCAAGAGGTTTTAAATCTGCTCTTGTCCACGGTCCACAGGGCAGTTTTTCTGACATGAGTTCTGGATGCTGTGGGGACGTATTTTGGGCTTCTTTTCCCAGGACATATGGGACTAATCCTGATCCTCTCACAGGGTCAGAGTTGAAGGGTGCAGTTTAGGATACTGGTGGATTTTGTGAGTGTGTTCCACAACATAAGGGCTGGCATACTCAGAGCTCTCCTTCTTCCTGGAACCTTCCCAAGGATTGGAGAGTGACTGTGGCCTTTGCTCTTGTGCCTGAACAAAGGCAGTGCCATGTTCCTGGTTTACCTTTTGCAGCTCACCTGAAATTTTGAGGGCAAGCCCACTTTGTCTGCCGTTGACTCTTGCATAGGGGTGTCTAATACGGGTAGGGTGGGAATTATCTTGAGCATATTAAGTATTAAAGCCACTGAAAAACTGCAGGGGTGAGTTACCTAGCTGTCAATGTTAATAGGTAGCCTTTTGATACCTACAGGAAACCAGGCCTCGGATGTCCGAGTTCACTGTGAAATCCACAATCATTTCTCGGTATGCTTTCACCACGGTGTCGTGCACAATGGTGAACAGTGGATCCGAGGCACGAGAAGGTGTGTTTGAGATGCAGATCCCAGCTGCAGCCTTCATCTCCAACTTTACCATGTAAGTAAGTAATGCTGACAGCTGGGTGGACAATGGTTCTCCTGTCCCACATATAGCTCTCTGAGAATTTGAAAACTGATTAATCTGCAGTAGGAATGTATCAAGGGCTTTTTGCATTTCTTTGGGAAAAATAAAACCACACACATGATATAATCCATCCGAGACTGATCATGGCTCCAAAGCACAGAGCAAGTGCTTGGATGACATGATACTAAGATTCAAGTCCTCAGTGTACCTGAGGAAGAACATTCTTCTATTTCCCCTTTGAGTGTTTTTTTAACAACTTTCTTCTCCTCCTTTCTCTGTGATTTGGACCATAAAATCTCTCCTAGCTCTCAGAAACCTTTCTATTTAAAGTTTCAACAGCACTGGCACATGATAGTTATCTCACCCAACTGACTGTGATGCCTAAGCAGCTCCTCATTGTTTCAGGTTCTCCATACTGTCAATGGAGGAGGAGAGTCAACTCCAAATATCAGATAGGTTGATTTCCTGCTGGAGGTGCTTGTCAGCCTGTGTGGATAACAGAGCAAGTAGAGTGCAACCAAGCTCATGCTGAAATGATTCACTAAGGCATAAAGCAAGCTCTTAATTTAAAAAGTTAAAAGGTTAAGTTAAAAGTTAAAATTTAAAAGATTTGGTCATGCTTAGCTCCCCTCTGTGGGTAGATATTGGAGCCACAGCTACAGACCTGACCACAGCAGAGAGGGGACCAGCTCTTTTAGAAAGACTTCCATTTGGGCTGAATAGGAGGAAATAGAGTCTTTCACCTTTGACCAGTCAAAATATATGTTAAGGGCTGTTTTCTTATGCAATCCATGGGCCTGTAATTCATTCCCAGGGAGAAGCATTTTGGTTAGGGAGACAACTAACTGAGGGCTGTTACCCTGAACATTGCCACATGTATTGACACCAATGGTGGATCTGAGACCAGGCAAAAAAAGTGCTCACTGGGATTCTTGGCAATTGCTTTTCTTTCTGGTTTGCATCCTTGTGCTTTGAGCATTACCTACTGAACTGGCATTTTAGAGAGGTAAACTCCTGAAGGTAAACGTACTATGCTGGTACAACCAGCCAAGGAACTTCTAAGTGGGCTTCACTGTATATGGGTGCAGAGTGGTCATGCTGACATGTCTGGTCTCTCCAGGAGCATTGGAAACAAGACTTACTACGGAGAGGTCACAGGGAAAGAAAAGAAACAGAGCAGTGATGACAAAGGAAGGCACAAGAAACCTCCGAGCCCTACAGATGGAAGGTAAGTGGAGTGCATTTGTCTGTGTTCTGGGAAGTAACATACTCTCTTCCCATCTTTATTTTGGCTGCTTTGGCATACCCATCCATGGCTTTACAGGAAGAAATTACTAAATTGAATGTCCCAGTTAGCTGGGACAGAAGCTCTATTCCAACACGAACACATGATCAAGAACAGCTGAATGGACTATGATTTGCAGACCAGAGAAATGATGAACTGTGGAGATGGAGACGTCTGTCAGATATCTGAACTCATAAGTGATATGTGAAAGGAGAATAAGGAATTTTTATTTTCTGCCTTATATAGAAAACCTAGGGAAAATCAAATGACATTATCAGGTTCAAAATGGCCACAATAAGGCATTTTTCACATAAATTGTGTTTCTTGCCACTAGAAATTGTCTATGCTAAACTTAATGTGGGTTCAGAAAGTGACTAGACAAATTTTTGTTAGGAAAAATCCATCCGGAACTTTTAGCAAAGGATGCTGCCGCAGGATCCAGACACAGACTGGCAGGACCTGAAAGAGTTCTGTTTTTCTTGCAGCACTTTATTTCTCTAGTCCTGCCCTGTTGCATCCTCCTCTGTAGGTGATTACTACCTGTCATTATTAGGTCACTGGTATGACCCAGAGATGTCATTCCAACTGTCTGGAAGGCTAATACTTTTAAAAAAAAAATAAATCTTTTTATGTGGGTTAGAGAAATAAGTCTCAAATAATTTTCAGTACTCACCAAATTTTGGTCATCACCAAAACTTCACATCACTGAGTTCTGAAGTTACACCTACATGGCATTAAAAGTTTTCCTTCTCGTTATGCGGCTTTTTGATTTTCCCAAAATAATGTGCCTGGCATCACATCAGTGCCTGGTAGCCGGACGCTACAGTGCACTGTATGGGAGGTAGAGTATCTTCACTTATCTGTGTTTAAGAGAAGGACAGCCGAAGCCAGTAAAGTCTCAAGGTGGGAATTCATCTCCCTTCAGACTAGCCAGGAGAAAGCTGGCTGTCAGTGGGTGACTGATGACACACTGTGGTCAATCAGAAGAAAAGAATCATTTTAGAAAGTGCCCAGTGGTAAAGTTTTCTTAAGGGTCCTATTTTCCTCATCATGTATGTAGCTATGAACAGCTAATACTGGGGAAGAGGAATTTATTTGTACTTTGCTTAAGATATTGCAATGAGTCAGCAGTGGCAAAGTCAAGAATTAAATACGGGTCTTGCAATTTCTCTGTGTAAGAAACCAAGCAACAGCCTTTCCCCTGGCCCTGCTCCATGCTCCGCATGTCTGTCATATTCCTCTCCGTAAGAAGTCATCTTGTCTTTTAAGACCTTTCCTCCTGTGGAGACCTCCTACGTGTCCAGTGCTTTGTGAAGCAGTATGATGTTTTCTTTCTTGCTTGTTTCACATATCCAGTGATAGGAAATACTTTCATCGGACCAATAAAATCCAGATTCCTCATTCACTGGAGGAAGTGGTGTGTGATGTGTATGGGGTGTGAAGGTGTCTTTGGATTTTCCTTCCAGGGAGAATGGCTATGAGACATTCAAAGCTTCTGTATTCATTCCTCGCAAGATGCAGGCCAAGTTCCTACTGCATTATGAAGAGCTTTTGCAAAGGCGACTGGGAAAATATGAGTATACAGTCAGCATCCGGCCCCAGCAGCTGGTGGGGAGGTTACGAGTGGAGGTGAACATCCTGGAGAACTCAGGCATAGTTTCACTGGAAGTGCCACCCCTTCGAAATAGCAAGCATAAAGGCAACGGTAAGGAGAGATTTAATGACTCATGGTTGTGTTACTCATGCGGCCTTCATAGAACTCAGGCATAGTTTCACTGGAAGTGCCACCCCTTCGAAATAGCAAGCATAAAGGCAACGGGAAAGTTGAAGGTAAGGAGAGATTTAATGACCCATGGTTGTGTTACTCATGGGGCCTTCATCGCTGCTCAAGAACTGGACTGGCAGTGTTGGGAGTTCTCCAAAGCAATTTTGGATAAACCGTGTAGACTAGTGTTTCATTCACTTTCCCTCTGCTCCAAATGAGGCATTAAATAAAACCTCAGCATTGTATTAAAGCAACATTGTCTAAAATCAAGACCGCATTAGAAACTAGAGGACACATCTCATGAAGACCACAAGAAAAATGAATGTTAGTGGCTCGTTAGGCATAAATTATTCTGGAAAATTCCAACTATGCTGGTATTTAGAAAGAGACATTTTTTTACTTTCCCTTCTTAATTCTTGCTGCAATCACTGTATGACAGGTACATTCCATGCCAGAGGTGGCTGCATTTGAGGGACAAGCAAGTCTCTAAGCATTGCAGGCCATCAGCAATTCCCATTTAGATATCTCATTCGCTGGCAGGGCAGTCTCCAGGTTCATGAACGCTGTTATAATGGGTACAATGTGAAAGGGATTTCAGGATTATGAACTCTGTGCAGTTCAGTGGTAGGAATTCGGTCTTATCATAAAGGCTGATGGCTTTTATTCTGTTTTCTATAGATGACTGTCTACATGGTATCTGTGCATAAGCATGTGAGAACTTAGAATCATAGAATCACAGAACGGTCTGGGTTGGAAGGGACCTTAAAGATCATCTAGTCCCAACCCTCCTGCCATGTGCAGGGACACCTTCCACTAGACCAGGTTGCTTTGAAGTTTAATGAATATAATATCCCATTCAACTCAACAGGATTATTTTTTGTTATTGTCCTTATGAGCTTTGAACTGGGCCTTCAGGCCTTGTGCGCAGCATTTGAGCAGGCTCTTCCCTGGCTCCACATCTCCTGGGAACTGTTTATTTTAAATGAATTGTTTTTTCCATCCATCCATGCCAAGGCAGATAGGAAATCCTGCATTTTAGAACATGGGAAATTCCAAGAGGAAAATCCAGGTTTTGCCAAAGCACAAAGTACGGTCCACGTGTCTACTCTTACCCCTAACTGTCCTTGCTCACTGTTCAAACAGTGTAAGGTAATTTTTCCAGTGTAAACTAACAGTGAGGAGCACAGGATACTGTGATTGCTATGTGTTGACAAAAATCTCACCAAAAAAAGAGGGCGAATCAGAGCTGGAAGCAGGATGTGGAGTCTTGTGGGACTTGATCCTCAGTTACTTTAAGTGACACAATGCCAGCAAAATCAGTGGAGCTGTTCATGTCTGCCAGGTAAAGACTCCGAAGCATGTGAACATGGAGTTAAACTGACTGCTCAGTGTGATTTTACTGATTTCATCCAAATCACGCTGAAATCAAGGCTGTCAGTGACTTGGGCCAACTTCAGATCAAGCCTTATGCAACTAATTGGTTTCTCTGCTGTATATCCACGCACTGTGTGACAAATGTGCTCTGCTGCTCATCAGGAAAGACAGGAAGCCTTTTTCACCTAGCAGGGAGTATCAAAGTGCATTGTGGTATATGGTTTCCTGCAAAACATCTGTCATTGATCAAGGTTAGAGACAGACTAAGCAGAGCAGACACATTGTTGGTCTAGTGCAGTATGGAAATTCCTATATATAAATGACACGCAGGGAGAATTCTCTTAACCTGCTCTCCAAATGGCAATCTGTGAGCACTTATAATTCTTGGTTCTGTGCTTCAGATTTAAAACAGCTTGTATAGGTTGAGGAGTATCAGGAAGTGTGAAAGAGACTACTGGAATCACACCCTATCTTCCCTGAGACAGGTCCAACAGGCAGACAGGTCACATAGTACGGAGGATTCCCCACCTTCACTTGGCTGAACACAGTGACTTAAGGGATAGGGGCAATGGCAACAAGTTCCTGCCTGGTGCAGCAGGCACATCTCCTCCATGACTATCCTACCTTCCAAGGTGCTCTTGCATCACGGGTATGAGGCTCTGCCAGTAGAACCGAACAATATAACAAGGACGATGGTTCATCTAGCTTGTGGTTGTTGCCAAGGTTAAGTCAGCCTAGGCTCTGCATCAAAACTGCTTCCATAAAGAAGGGAAAAGATGTGTTATTGTCACAGGAGAATGCCTTCTGAAGGGAACAGAAGGCACAATATGCAGACTGGACCCACTTCTTAGGGCAGTCTGCTGCCTCTCTGGGACTCGGGTTCAGGATGTGAAGAGGAAGCTTCCTACCCTGGTATGGTCCTCAGAGTACTGTCCATTGTTGATTCTGCAAGTAGACAGTGATGAAGTTGCAACAAGAAGTCTGAGTGGCTCCAAGCCTGGTGTCACTGGCAGAATTTGGGGGTTTTCATCATGTGTCGGTTTACATGACACCAGGACTGATGGCAACAGACGGGATACACCTGTCTCAAAGAGGGAAGGGATCTTTGCACAGGAGTCATGAACCAGTCTTCTTACATTTGTGGTGCTTTCTACATACTATCTGTAGAGCCAAGGTACCATGCAGGAAGCATAGTGGAAAAAATTTCTTTGTTTAGTGGTCACTCAGGATTTGCACTTTTGACTCCAGCCAAACTGCTAGTATCCATGCACTTTAATGAACAGAAGAGTCAAAACTTAAACAGAAGATGTCCCTTGATGAGAAAGAGTGAAGGACACTTCTTTTTGCTGTTTATAAAACAGCACAGAACTCACAGCAGTAGGAGCAAAAGCAGTAAAGAGTGCACTTCTGCCTGTTTTTGTCTGTAGGGGCCCAAGATACAGATACTAGACTTGGTTCCAGAAAATTTCAGTGATTTATGAAAAGTAAAGCTGTGCTTTGCTATAAACAGAGGCTCTCAGAAAGTCCTGCATACATCCTCTTGGAATATGGAGCAGAGGCAGTGTGATGACAGGTCTTTCCAGGATATTTCCTTCGTTAGTGATTCCTGAGCACGCAGCTCCATCTGGGAGCTGTATTTTTCCCAAAGGAAGATACTAGGTATGTGAATTTTGGCATGTGCAGGTGTTGTCTTCTGTCACATGTGAATCCCAAAATAGGAGACACTGAGGCAAACGATCCTGGCCTTCTCTGGTAACCTCAGAATAGAGCCATTTTCTGATGTCCTACCCAGCATCCTCAGGGATGACTGTCCTTCTCCTTTTCCTCCAGCACAGCGGTGTGAGAACTGGCCACGGACTTGGGCAGGGAGACACTAGGCTGGTTGAGAATGACTATTTCTCTTTGAAGTCATAGGTCTCAGAGACGTTTATTTCTTACCACAGTTGTCTAGGAATTTCCACGTGTTAGCAGAGGATGAACTTTGCATTTGAGCTCTAATCCTGATTCTGAGAGTCTTCAAAATAATACAGGTTTAGCTGCTCATCATGTGAGAACTATGGTTTCATACAAAAAATGCTTTTTCCTGCTCTATATACTTTTTTAGCTGAATTTGGTGGAAAGTTTGTCTAAAAGCTCTATTAACTACCTCAGTGTGAGCACAGACCAGCTCAAGTCCTTGGAGTTCATCCATGCATCCATACTCTGTAATATCTCATAGATTTTCCTCTCTCAGTCACTTGTCTGAAAAGAACTGGCCAATAAACAGAGGAGAGTAATTGTGATCCAGACATCAAGTGCTGCCTGAAAAAGAAACCTGGGGGGGAGACATAGTGACTGTATTCAGATATATAAATGCTGCTGCAAGGAGGAGAATACTGTGCTTTCTGTGCCAATAATAGAAAGAGTAAGAAGTCATGGGTTTATAATTCAGAAAGAAAAATGTAAATTAGACGTTGAAAATGTCTAACAGTGAAAAAGTGAAGCTGGAAAGGACTGGCAAGGTCAGGTACTGAGTCTCCATTACTGGAGGTCTGGAGTTTTTCCAGACCATGTCATAAAACCAAGACAGAAACGATTCAATCTGGGATCAAGGGATGAATTAGACAACCTGCCTTCCAGACCTGATTCCTGTTATTCTGGGGGAAAACATGGTTATTTTGGATATTTTTATCAGACCATTTTTTGGGTTTTAATCTCCGTCCTGGCAATGTGACATGAGTGGCTATGAATATGGGAGAGCTTCCCCAGCTATTCTTGTCACTGACAACGGCTATGTGAGGCAGCCTTGGAAACCTCTTCTCCAGGGCTTCCTAAAGCACTGTTTGTGTTACAGGGGATGACATTTCTCACCTCCAATGAGTGTTTTGAGGAGTAATAGAAGAGGACAATGTGATCCCATCTAGATTCCACAGTGCTTTATAAAACTGGATATGTGTGATTATGCCCATTTAACAGGTTGGTAAACTGAGGTATGGAGCGTCTATCTAACTCAGCTAATTTCAGATGGTCAGCGTCCATAGAAACTAGGACTGGAACTCATGCTGTTGTGGTGCACAGCATGCTATGCTCATCCATCAATGTACTTATGGCAGAGAAGCAGCAGCAAAGTCCAAAGGCCACAGCCACAGACGTGTACATGCAGTAGGTGTAAGGAGAGAGCTTCTGTTCCCAGTGTGAGACTGATTTTCACTAACCCTGATGTGATATGGCCAAGCAGCCTAACCGACAACAGTGCTTGCTTTTCAGCAGTTGAGGAGAAGTAATGTGAAACCCTCAAATAGATCAGAAAATATAAATGAACTGTTAAGCCATTTATATGGATTCTGGGCATTTCCCACACATTGACAGTTAAATGGGATTTTGGAAATGATAGAAGACAGATGGAAAATCCAGGAAGACCAGTACAAAAAAATCTGATGCATTGTGTATTAAATATTCTTTACATTTGTTGTTTCATCAGATCAAAAGGCAGCTGTCACAGTAAAAAATCAAGATGGAGGTAAAAACTTGTATAACTTGATGTATGACTTTTCTTTGCCAGGAGAAGTCTGAACTGTACACAGATTTTAGAAAAAATGGCAAAGCTCTGGGTAATACTTTCATAAGCCCCCTTTAAGATTGAACACTAGTGTCCTTAATGATTTCACTGTACTGGCTGGGACCTCTCTCTCTGTTTCTGTCAGGATGGATGGATTGGAATTGGCATAGTCAGAGAAGCTGTGATGCAGAGTCAATTCTTGACTTTACTGAAATTGAGTAATATCTGTCATTCAGCCTCCTTGGTCAAGGCTTTTGCTGATGAGTTTGTTTCACATTCCAGGTCCTCCAACAATAATTTATTTGTGTAGAAGTTGAGCCTATGAGAAAACCCTTCCCTGCCTCCATAGCACAATCCTGTGCCTTGTCCACTCAAATGCACTCATGGGACAGCTATAAAAGTAAAGCCAAATCAATGTGGAACTAACATCCTAGGGTGCTATTGATTTATGACTTACTTTCATTCCTTTGCCTAGAGGAGTCTAGATAATACATTGCACTTCAGGATAAACACCACAGCTTTGGCTAATCATTTTATAAACCCACAAGAGCCCTAGTCCTGGCATTTCTATGGACTTGGACCTGTGGGAAGGCAGGTAAGTTAGGTAACCACTCCATGCCTCCATTTTCCTACTAGTTAAATGGACATAATTATAGGTATTCGATTTTGTAAATCACTCTGTGATCTGGATGTGAGGTGGATCGTGTTCAATGTTGCATACAGATGTCATGTTGCATTTCTTTAAAACTGTTCAAAGCACTTTACAAAGGTGGAGAAGTGCTACTCCTCGTTGCATAGTGTTATAGGAACCCCTGGATAGGAGATGCCTGCACCTTGTCGTTGTGATCAGTGTTGTTAATGGGGTATAGCACATAATTAAAGTTATCTTAAAGCAGATGTCTATGTCTAGCCAGATGTATAATACCCTAATCTCCCCTGACACTCTTTACCAGATCTTCATTAAGCATAATGAGAGCCTAGAAAATAAGCTCAGACGTAGGTATTTGCACTGTAAATACCTAAACAGGAACAGAATCTCACACATCTTTTCTTTTCCCTGCCACACCACAGACTTCTTGGGCCATCTTTGGCAAAGATTTGAGACCCACACACAGAGTATAATTAAGCAGCTCATTCCCACCAATTTTAATCAGCACATGAGCAAATATAATAGAACTTCTGTGCCTCAGAGGAGTGTTGGAATAATCACTGTGAGAGTTGAAGCACCCAAGAAGAACACCAGTTTAGAACCTATTTTGTTTTCAATAGCTAGTTAGGATTAGGGAGAAAGCCCATAAAATCTGGGGAAGTTCAAGGCCAAATGTGGCCTTTGGTCAGTCTCATGTAAGGGTTCAGAGGGAATAGACAGTTGGCACACCAGAAGAGAGTAAGGTGGGATTTCAGTTATACAGAGACACAACAAGCAATCTCCATATCCCTCAACTTCAGAAAATGAACACAGCTGACAAAACAAGCAGAGGCTCCTTCAGGATGTCTTAGACTTAAATTATTGTCTTCCGCTTAGATGGCCTCTAAAAGGCACATCTCTCTTCATTGCCTCAGGAAGGGGTCTCGGAGATCAGGGTGAGTTACCTCTCAGGGATGCAGTTTGCATTACTCTACTGGCAAGTGTTGGATTTTGTCTCAGTCAGTAGGACTGAAATTTCAGCGACTATCTTGATGACTCTTTGCAGAGCATAAAGGCAGCTAAAATGACTTGTTCAGATGTAGACGTTACACATAAGGTGCGTGTCAGATCAAGCAGTCAGTCAGATCAGTCCCACCTCACATGCCTGCAGTACATCTGAACAAGTCACTGCAAGACCTGTTTATAATCAATAGGGAGAAATCTGCAGTATGATTAATCTGATCCTAAAGGAAATGTTTAAGCAGGTCCAATGAATCATACTTGCATTGACTGGCAGTATCTCAGGTACAGGGTCTGCATTCTAGATGTCTAGAGTTGGCTGGAATGAGTACCTCATGCATGTCTGAATTGTGTGTTCATTATTTACAGAGCGCAATTAAGTCATACAGAGAATGTCTGGCTTTTGAGTTGAGTGACCTTTAAACAGAAGCAAGCACAGGAATTTTGCCTACACATTTATATCCCTGATCGGATTGCAATGTTGGTTTCAGTTTAGAATTAGGAGAGGGGTTACTACGTTCTTATTTTACCAGCGGTGAGCTGAATCTTTAATCTCATTATGTAACTCTGCTAGTTGACCTGACTCCATGGTAATACTGTGTGCTGTGCTTAGACATCTGTAAGACAATGGGGAAACCTTGTAATATCTGGGTTTTATCTCGATAGGTGATGTTTCTCCTCCTCCTTCTACTGTAGTTGGACATACCAAAACCTTAGCTAAAGTTACATTCAATCCCAGTGTTGTTGAGCAAACCAGGATTGCCCGAAATGGCATTTTGGGAGACTTCATAATTCGATATGATGTCAACAGGGAGCTGAGTGTTGGGGATGTTCAGGTACCGTACACGACTCATCTTTTCTGTTTTATTAACTATGCTTGAGATGGTTCAATTGTCTTCTCCAAATGTCCTTAAAAATGTTTTTCAAGTGAAGGCTACCTCTCCATCTTGGAAAAAGTACCCAAAATAAAACCAGTCAATTGGCAGCCACAAGATGGACTTTAAAGCCACAGGTACTTACTTCATTAAGTTTCTTCTTTCTATCTGCTTTTAAGTTTCTCAATATACTGGTTGTATATAACTGAATCCAAGGCCAGTTCCCCAAATGCACGTTGCGGTTCTGATCCCCGGGTACATATGTTATATCCTTACTGCATTTGCAAGGAAACCCCCATGTCCACCATGGGAGGAGATGTGGAGAGCTCCAGTAGGCTCCCCCAGTCTGGATAAGCAGGGGACTGGGATTAAGAGGGATAGCAAGGAGCACTTGTATCCTCCAGTGTAGACACAGACACTGAAAGCAGGATCAGGTGTACCCAACCAAACATCCCATAATGATGTGTGTGGAACATTGCATCATGATCTGCCTTCAATCCTGACTTCCTTGCTCTTCCACAGATTCTTAATGGGTATTTCGTGCACTACTTCGCCCCCACAGATCTTCCTCCATTGCCAAAGAACGTTGTATTTGTGCTTGACAGCAGTGCCTCCATGGTGGGAACGAAACTGAAACAGGTGAGCTCCTTGCTTTGTTACAGACTGGTTGCTGCAAGGTTTCAGAGAGTTTGGTTCAGACTTCATCTTACTAGATGGGTTCTTCTGCAAAATGTTTGCTGTGTCTGAGGTTAGAGAGGGCTCTGAAGAAACTGCAAAGTGAGATGACTTACCTGCAATGAGAAATGATCGTATTAGTGGGAATGGGGTGGGAACAAGAAGTGCAGAGGACTTAATCAGTCTCCAAAAAAGGTCAGTGCTATTAAAAATGAGCTAGGATGCTGCAGACAGGATTTTCTTGGGCAGTTCTTTTCTGGGCAGTTTGAAGAGAGGCAGAATAGGGAGAATTCATGGAACCATAGAATCATAGAATGGTTTGGGTTGGAAGGGACCTTAAAGATTATCTAGTTCTAACTCCCCTACCATGGGCAGGGACAGTTTTTCCCAGCAAAGCTCATTCAGCAGACCATTGCATCTAGCTTAGCAGCAGAGAACAGATACTGCTGTCTTTAAATCACTTTGGGAAAACCCTCAGCAATATATAAATCCATGGGTTCTGTTGAAAGAAAGGTAAATTTATCCTATTTGAGAATCTGAGTCTTTCAGCACACATCTAGACACAGATCTTGACATGAGCCAACATACCAAGCTAAAGGGCACATCACCAATGCTTAAAATTGACCGTTGATATGGAGGGTTCAGGCTGGTGCCTGAACGTCTTTTTTTTTCTTCAGTTCTGGAAACCCTCTCTAGTTCGGGAACCAAGTAGTTGGCTTGGATGGGCACTATGCCTGGGGGAATATACTCTTCCTCTCAGCACAGTGTTATCAGTCTAAACTAGAAGCAGACTGTACCTGGGGAAATATACTTTCTCTCTCAACACAATATTATCAGTTTAAACTAGAAGTAGAGATTAATTAAGACTTCAATCCTATTCTGAATGACTGGATAGATATATCTCAGGTCTGCACTCACACTGGAGAGGTAAGTCCAGTGTCTGTCTCATGTATCAGTGCAGAAATGGAGAAAAGACCTGCTAGGGTTGGTATTGTTTCCTTCCACTTGAAGATTTGCTCCACAGGCATGAGATATGAAGATGTTAAGTTGGCTTCTCTCTGTTGAATGGCCACATCTTTACCTTCTACTTTCTTACCATGGCCGAGCTAATGACACAGCTGAAAGTGACACTTCCCACATGGGCTGGCATCAATACGGGGCAGTTTCAGCTAGTATGAATGGTGAGATGTTTTAACTCTGCTAGAATTACTGAAAGCCAATGGCTTGAACTTGTATCTTGGCCAGTTAAGGAGCTCTAATTAGTCCATTTAGGCCCTCAGTTATCTGCCTTGAACATGCTGATATTTCTGGAATGGTTATTTGAGACCCATTTTTTGCCTTGGCCACCAATACTAGCCCAAATGTCCTTGAAAATACAGACCATGGTCATTTTCCAACAGTTTTCTATCTTTGAACAAGGACATTGGGGGTATATATGCCTTTCTCTGCCAAAAGCTTTACTATCTGATTTCAATGGTGACCATAAATCTTAATTTAGAAGCCGTGTTCCCTATTAAATCAAATTACCTCCACGGTGAGCTACAATGGAGTATGACTTTATGTCTCCTAATTATCTTCCCCAGTGACTGGAGTAGCAAACAAAGAGTTGTTAACAAACTTACTTAATACTATGCTGAATGAGGTCTTGAATGAAGATGACTTTGAATGTTCACTAATTCCTGTGGACAGAGCCTGGCTCTTGACTTTCTGTCATCCTTCTGCTGAAGAATGTCTGCCTCGCCGTGCAGAATAAACAGCTGCTGCGCAAACGCACCCAGTCCTGCGTGCTGAAAGCAAGCAGTCAGCAGCGATACAGCGCTGAACCAGGGAGACAGATTCTGAAGGGCTTTGGTGTGAGCTGCACAAGCAGTGCCTTGGGGCAGCAGATTAACCTTGCACTGTGAAAGCTTTTATTCTCCTCCTGAGAGTATTAGTGTTTCTTTTTCATATACTTAGTAGAAACAACATGGCCAGGGATTAACCCTTGAAGGCCAACTTCATACCCTAGACAGCTCCTGCTACACATACATGAATCTCAGCCTAATTAGCTACAGACAATGCCTCTTGAGCCTGAAGTGAGAAGTATCTAGCCAGAACCTTTGTCAAGGGTGTACTCATTTTTTTGCCCTCTTATCTCAGATACACTCTTTTTATGGTGAACCAGTGGTACGTTATGGAGGAGTGCTATGTGCAGGAAGCACTTAACTTCTTCTGATTTCAACTGCTCCAGGAAAATAGAACTTCATGGAATGATGAGCTAAATCATAAGAGCCCACAGGGATTCGCCAAGGAAAGACCAAAATCTAGGAATAGGTGGATAATATGCCTCTCTTGGTACACTAAGAAAGTCTGATTGGTTACAGCCATGACCCGTGTCTGCTCTGCGGCCTTTTTACCCAATTGTTGTTATAAAGATGTTTATTAAATTACAGACATGTCCCCTGTTGGCAGGATACATCTGAGCAGAGGAAATGCCTCCTTTTCTTCTTTTCTCTTGGATCCTTGCAGCTGTGGTGATCTATGGTGGGGTGTAGAGAGCTGGGAATTCCCATAGGATTGCCTTTCCTCATTTCTCTCTACTGAGTCACAGGAAAGATCAGCTAAAAATACAGTCAGCACTTGTAAAGAGTGCTCGTGTGGGTCAGCTGTGGTAACTATGACAAAGGACAGTTTTTAGCGTTGTATAAGCAAGGATGTTACTCTTTCCTATGATAACATGTACTCTTCACTCAACTGCTTTCATGAAGTTAACAGCAAAGTAATCAAAATGGGGTCAGGAATTCATGGATCCTGCAGTTCCCACAATCTAATTGTGAGTCATTTCTTCTTTTCCTTTCCCAAGGTTTTTCTTCTCCTACATCAATTTTTGTCTGTTTGTGCTACCCCTTTCTTCCTAAGGTATCTCAGTCTTGGAAGAAACAAGATGTCCAGACCCAGTTGCAGCACATATAGTGAGACTCGTTACTCACCTTAAGTCATCATTAGGACCCTTGAGATATTTCCCTCACATCACTGAGACATATATTACGTTTGTGGGGAAGATCAGGTAATGTGAATATTCCCTCTGCAGTTTTCACAGCCCCTAAATTCTGGTAATGTCTAGCAGACTGAACTGTGTTACAGCAGCTCACCTTCACTGAGGATCTGGGCCTTTGTGACATTCACCTTCTAGGACTGGCAGGGAGTTAAAGATCAAGAAGAGAAAACTCTTGAGCATCATGATAAAAAAATTTTTCATGCGTTCAAGGCTTGGCACGTCATTATTGCTGTCTCACTGGCAAGGAAAATACTGGTTTTGTCCTCACGAGGTTTGTTCCTTCATTTGAAAAGAGGCAGTTAGCTCTGTGCAGAATAGTTGCTTTTAAGAGGAGCCAGAAGAGCCTGGGGAGCAGGTTGTATGTGCAAGGTTTACTGGGAAGCAAAACTATTTGCCCTTTAAGCAACCTGACCTGCTGATTTTTATGGTACCTTTGGCTCTAGAGGTAGAGGGGAACATAGCAGTTTTATGTGGGTATGACTAGGAGAAAGAGGGGCCAGTTATGGGTTCACCACCTTGTGATTACCATGATTATCCCCAGCTTCACTAGACATAGTGATAAAGGACTGACCTTTATCAGCCTGCAATTCAGTGTTACCGAACAAGCATGTTCCAAGCTATGAATGTGTCTCAAGAGGATGGATTTGCAGATGTTTTGCAGACATGCGGTAAAATGTAGTTGTTTCAACCACAGATTCATTTCACCTTACCTTTCCCACAGGCAACAAATGCCCACACACTCAGTTAAACAGTTGGCTACACCGCAAGCCTGGCAACTTGTCAATGGTAGTGTGCCAGACTGTAATTTTCCCTGAGGCTAATTGCACTAGGAGAAACTCAAATGAAGCTGGGACCTGCTGCGTATTTGAAAATGCTTCAGTTTATTTACCTGCATCCATCCAAGAGACACTGTCGGTATCCTTGGTCTGACACCCACATGGTCTGAGCCCTTCTGAGGGCCCGACTGCCTTATATACACATATCCCTAAACCTCTGTCCCTCAGCACACAGACTCCCTCTGCGTAGTTTTGGAGTGGTTGAGGGGGCAGACAAGCACCTGAGCACTGGAGGTTCTCGCTCCAAACTCCACTGACTTCTGGTGGTTGCTGCAGAGCTGGCAGGCCTGTTGGCTACTAGTCCTAATAATGGCTGCTGCCCAGGAGAGCTACCTTAAATCAACAGGGGACTTTGGAAAAAATGTTAATTCTAATTACAGCCTTCAGCGAGTTTAAATCTACTGTGAAGAGGAAAGATTTGTCAGCTTTTCCGTTTCTGTTGGAAAACAACAGCCTGAGTGAACTAAGAGCTGTATGCACCATCTCCAGCACTGACAGCTTCATGCAGCTGACTCCTACTTGGGAATACACAACAGCTGTGTCCTCTCAGTCCCCTCTGGAGGTGTGAATATGGAATTACTACAGTAAATACAACATCAGATTCATATAGACCTTAATTGCCTAGCTTCCAAGAAAGGGGCGAGTATCTGTGATGCAGCAAAATCATCTGCCTTCCCCAAACCCTGAAATTTATAAATAATGGCAGAGTTATACAGAGAAACAACTAACCTTCAGAGCAAGATGCTCTCAGATGTTCTGTGCAGGGAGCATCTGTGTTTGGTCTCAGGGATAAAAGCCAGCATGCCCCCAGCTGATTTACTCCATGCTGAGGCAGTAGAAACAGGGTTTTCCAGGAAGACCCCAGCCCACCTATAAATGGCAAGTCCTTTAACTGGGTTCAGAGTAAATAGAATGCAAAAGCAAATGCAGAGTTTAGCATGGAAATGCTGCTGAGGCTGGAACTGAAACCCCATGAAGACATTGAGTGTTTTCCTAAGGCTTTTAATGGGACCTCTGCTGAATTCAAAGGATGAACTGAAAATGGGTGCTACCAAAGTGGCAGACACAGCCCAGTGGTCACCAGGCAAGTC